AAGCGGTTTTTTGTTTTTGTTTTTTTTTTTTTTAGCATAGATTTGTTTGTATATTTAATGAGAAGAATGTTACATTTAAAAGTATTCCAGGTGTCGAATCTGGCATTGACCTTTTTTTTTTTTTTTAATTAATAGATCACAGTTGAAAACTTTGGTGCAACAGAAGTGAAAGAGCTGGTTCTGAATGGTGCAGACACAGCTGTTAACAAACAAAATCGGTAAGGGATTGCGGTGACCTCAGTGGGAGTGATAAGGGTTAGTAGGCATTCTCTAATGTTACTAGAAACATGTCATAGCTATAGGTTGTGGCACACAGCACTTCAGGAGGCAAAGGGAGGAGGATCTCTCTGATCCTGCCAGGACTACATGATGAGACCACGTCTCAAAACAGTTTAAAAACAACCCATAATTGAATGTTTAATGGGAAAGTCTGAAATCCCCTTTAAGGTATAAGTAAAAGAGTGAAAAGATCATGATGAATAGCGGCACAAAGAGAAATGAAAAGAAAAACAGCAAATACGGTTTAAACGGAAATGGTGGCAGCTAATTAGCTGATCAGAGGAAGAGGTGTAAGATGGACTGGAGCACCCAGAAGCCACCAGTTCGTTTTACAGACTAGCAGCTTAAGACACTGAGTCTGACCCACTTTTAGAGAGTGCTAAGGGTTTGAGGAGTTCCTGAAGTTCAGCAGGAAGATTGGTAAAGAATCAAATAGAAACCTTTATGTCTTGTCACCCAGCATTGTCCCCAGGGCACATGGCTGCCAGTAACTACAAACAACTATGCCATAGTGCCTGTATGGTGGTCAGAAGACAACCCATGAAGGTTACTTCTCTCCTTCATCCAGCTGGGTAGCAAGTGCATTTAGCCAATAAGCCATCTGACCAGCTTTGCATTTTTCTTTATAGTTTCCATAATATCATGAGAGGCAGGAAAGAACCACTTGTGTCTCCTCCACACATTTGAAAAGAAACTGTTATTAGCCTGGCAGTGCCTGTTAGTCCCAGCACTCTGGAGGTAGAGGCAGATAGATCTGAGCTTAAGGTCAGCCTGATCTACAGAGTGAGTTCCAGGACAGCCAGGGCTACACAGAGAAAACCTCTTTTGAAAATTGAAAACAACAAACAAAGAATATGTAACTTTTAAAAAATGATCTCGAAAGAAAGAATGCTTAATACCTATTCCTTGGGTATGAATGTTATATAGGTTCATTGAAACCAAAGGGATGGAAAATCTGTTCTCTCTAGCATAAACCTCCTGCTTCCAGGGAGATCTCTTATCACAAAGTGTCTTATTTCTCCATGGGTTGGGTCTATTTTGAAATACTTTTGTTGTTTTTTCATTAGAAGTAGACTTTTTTTTTTCTCCTTTAAGATAGGGTCTCTGTACATAGCATATTCTGGGTTTGGTGTGGTTTTGGCTTGGCTTTGTTTTCCCCATAATGATGGTGTCCTTTTCATTGAAGTCCTCTTTTCTGAGTTTAGTTGAAAAGTGGCAAGAAGTGAAAAAGCGACTTGGACAGTGTTGAGTATTCTCCATAAATGGTGTGTGTGACCCATGTAACTATGCTTTGCTTTCGTTTCTAGGCAAGAGTTTGTTGATGCCTATGTGGATTACATATTCAATAAATCGGTGGCATCTTTATTTGATGCTTTCCATGCAGGCTTTCATAAAGTCTGTGGAGGAAAAGTTCTTCTGCTCTTTCAGCCTAATGAATTACAAGCTATGGTTATTGGGAATACAAATTACGACTGGAAAGAACTGGAGAAGGTAAGGAAAATACCAGCCTTTACCTGTCAGTGTAGAAAGGGAAGGGTATGGCTTGCTGTTGAAAAACTAGCCCATCTGTATGCTGTTGCCCTTCGTATGTACAACTCATTGGTGTCACTGGTAGACACCCCAGCCCCTCCTACCCACAGTGCACTGTTTGATAGCACTGGGGAGGTGCTTGAGACAATGCCATAGGAGTGACCCGACTAAATGGCTCTCTACCCAGTGCTTTTCTGGCAAATCTAGTGTTAAATTGGTAACTCCTACAGGGAGGGGACTACAAAGGAAAAACTTTTGAGGGCTGGCTGGCTCAGAAATTTATACCACAGAATATTGTTGTATTCCTCTTAGCATTTTTGTTTAAAAAAAAAACAGTAAAATTTTATAAAATTTCATGTTAGCATTTTAATAAACCTTTTGTGCTATTTTAATAAATCCTTATTGATAGTGTTGCATAAGCATTTCTGGTGATTTTAGATCTGTTCTTCCCTCTTCCTGGGAACCAGTAGGATTGCAATAGTTCACTTCACCCGTGATAAGTTTTAATGCTAAAAAAAGTTGTCTGTACTTTTTTTAGAATACAGAATACAAAGGGGAGTATTGGGCAGAACATCCCACAATAAAAATTTTTTGGGAAGTGTTTCATGAATTACCACTGGAAAAGAAGAAGCAATTTCTATGTAAGTATTTCTGACCAGCTGTATAGTCTATTAGACAAGAATATAATTGTTAAAATTGTAAAATATGGGCTGCAGAGATGGCTCAGAGGCTAAAGAGCACTGACTGTTCTTCCAGAAGTTCTGAATTCACTGTATACATAATTAATAAATCCTTAAAAATTGTAAATATTAGCCCAGTTTTTAAAAATTAGTTTTTGCTATTTTTTAAGATTTTTATTTATATGTATGTTGAATCTGTGTTATGTATGTTGTCCTCAGAGGCAAGAATTGTGTCTGATCCCCTGGAACTGTTGTTACAGGTGGTTGAGATTCGGAAACCTAACTTGAATTCTGTGCTGTAGGGCATGGCTTAATTTCTTTTCCTATTTGTTACCTTGTATAAAATGTTCTAGGGCATTCCTCTGTTGAAGGTCTCCCCACTCTCAGGAGTGTTCACTTATCAGTTAAGAGTGTGCACTGCTTTTGCAAAGTCCCTGGCTATTCAGAAGACATGGGCAGGAGCTCAAGTTCCAAGGTCTGCTGGAAAATAGGGTTGAAGTCTGGGCAGTTGCCAAGATCCTGTTTCAAAGTAAAAAGCAACAGTAAACACAGCTTAGCATTAACACCTGACTCCAGAACCCAGCACCCGTGTGGCAGGAGAGAACTTCTAAAAGTTTTGACTTACACACACACAAAAAACTAGTTTAACCAGTTCTCTAAATGACTTCTAAATGCTTGTCAATACCAACATTCTTCACCAAGTATTTATTGAGCACTTTTAAGACAGTGGGTGATGTTCATGCAAAGCTAGGCTGTGGTCACTGGACTGTTGTCTAAATCATCTTTCTTGGCAGTATTTTTGACAGGTAGTGATCGCATTCCCATTCTTGGCATGAAGAGTCTGAAACTAGTCATCCAGTCAACAGGAGGTGGTGAGAGCTATCTTCCGGTTTCCCATACCTGTTTTAATCTTTTAGATCTACCAAAATATACAGAAAAAGAAACTCTACGATCTAAATTGATCCAAGCTATTGATCACAATGAAGGCTTCAGTTTAATATAACCTTGGAGTTTTGTTCTGTTTAGTGCAAAGGCAAACCACTTGTGTTTTTCTTGTGAATTTCAGCAAAGTGAGAAGTACTTGTAATTCTCACTTGCAAATTGTTCACTACTGTATTGATGAAAGCCAAATATTAAAGAAAAATTGAGCAACTCTTAATACTAAACTGTACATAACCATGAATTGTCCCTGTCCTCATACAGTATTGTGAATACATTAAAGTTTTACTAACAGGAATTTTAAGAGTTTGCATATTTCAGAAATGACCTGATGTGTGAGTGCATGGAACTGTTGCTTAATGTTTCTTCAATCACTGGGTAAAAACCTAACTATGGCCTGCCTTTAGTTATTTGATTATTTTTCCATTTTGTAAATAAAAGTTTTGTAATAAAATGGTGACATTCAGATACCAGTAGTTTCTGTGGCTGTAATTGAACTGAGCTCAATTTTTAAGGGTTAAAAATGATCTGCCTCCATAAAAGCATGGTGGAAACATCTTTACTACATTAAATGTCTGTGCAGACATAAATTGAAGTTCTTTCCTCCTTCCTGAGTCCTGAGATATACAGCCTGTTAACATGACAATCAAAGTTGCCAGAAACAGAACCAGTGGCCACTTTGGAACTGATGCTGTAGTATTTGTTAAATTCTTGGTGCTTTAGAAAGTCTTAATTAAGGGTGAGCTTGTTAATAAACTGTGGAAGAGTTAAATATGTAACTCTGTTAGCTACAATGCAAATATTCTTTTCAACTTAAAAAGCTTACTATTTCAACTTCCAGTGGTTCTCATCGGATTCAAACTCAGGGAGGTTTGTATCATTTCTGTGCACTATGAACGAGAGGCTAGAAGCAGGCATTGAAGTCACAAGCCCCAATGTTGGTTGGTGCTAAGGAATATGTAAACGCACTCAGCTGCTGATGTAAGTATTCTGAATTGTCAAGGCTGTTCAAGCTATTCACTAAATGGGACTTTAAAATGCTTAGATGGGCCCTGGATGTCTTTTCGTATTTAAGGTTCATTCTTTCCTGTAATAAGGACATCTTACAGGTAAACACTCCTATAGTATACTGAAGCCCAGCATGGTGGCACTCTTGTTGCCTTTCTCACCTACTGTAGTCTCAGCGGTCGTTCCGTGACCCCATTGTCTCAGGCATGCCCACCACACACCTGGCAGAGTTCATTTCTTGCTCACATTTTTGGCTCTGTGCCACAAGGTGAGGCTCTGGCTATTTCTATGATCATCTAATTTGATTTCCAGATTAAGGCAGGAGGGAAAACCATGTTATTTATCACTTGGTGATACACTTGGTGATACACAGTGCCCTTTAGTGCTTTCATTCCACATTCATGTCATTGAGATTCGTTCTCAACAGTAAGTTGGTGTTAGAGATAGAAGGCATTCTGGGATCAGACACCAGAAGACCCCAACACGAGTGAACCTTATTGGGCTGGCAAGTTAATGGGGGGGTGGAGCCAAATGACCATTTTAATATAAGACTTTAAAACAAGATACAAGTATAAAACACTGCTTTTGTATTTCAAAAGTTTGAGGAAGATAATCCAGTCATTAAACAGTCTACAAAACATATGCCAGATTACATAAAAGTCTATGTACAATATAAAAAGAGCTGAAAACAGTCTTCACTGTAAAAATAATTTAAAACAAATTTTTCAATTTAAAATATTGTCTATAGCACAAACACATCATGCAAATGGAAACTAAATATACTGCATTCTTTAGTGTAAGCCAAATTCAGATTGAAATCTCTTTTGGGTAGGGAAATGAGCCACTTTTATTAATTAGTCTTCTCTGGCAGTAACGGTCCTCGCTGGGTATTTTACGCATAAAGAACAGCTATATTTCAAAACCTTTTTTTTTTTGGTAATAAATACTAAACCAACATTGAATATTTAAATTTGTGGGTAATGTTCCAAAGAAGTCTGTAAAATAAATACTGACTGTAATTGGAGGTGTGAACTGTTTGAAAGGCTAAAAGCTTCTGCAGTTCAGAAAACTGATCCTAGTTTTAAGGCAAGCTAAGCTTTTAAATAAATAAGAACTAGTTTCATTGACTATTCATAATACAAGGCTCACACTTTGGGGTACATTACACCAAATCCTCAATAGGAAACAATGTACTTTCTGGCTAAGTTACAATTTATTACTTTGGAACTTTAATTAAGAGACCTGTAGCTTTCCTCATTAGTGGAAAAACAGCAGTCCAAAATATTACACTCTTCCCCAGTAGAAGTACCATTATTAGGTTCAGAAAGGCTTTGCATATGCACATCTTGGCAGTTTAGTACTTGTGGTGACAATAGATGCAGGCTCTACCACAGTGATAGGTTAAGCTAAGGGGACCTATAGACAGGACTATTGTTTCTAGAGCAACTGAAACATTTTCAAATCAGGTTAGTCTGCTGACTGCAGCAAGTACATGCCATCTTAAGCAGTAAATACACTTCAAACTGAGCAGGTTTTGAGTGCTCCCCACACATGCTGACTTCCTTCTCACATTGTAAAGTCATCAGTGATTTAAAAAAGTTAGCTGCCACAAGTTTTTGAAAATGCCAGTGTTTCAAAAGGTAACTGCTAAAAATAAAATTCAGCAGAACAAAAATTGAGGATTTCAAAACTAATCAATGTTACAAACAAAAAGTGTGAAATACCATTCTTTGGTCTAGATAAGCTGTTCCCTTTACATTAATTAACATTCCAATGGCTTTTTGAAAACTTTAAAATGTTGAAAATCATTAGGCAAAAACAAAATTATATATACATATGGATGTATCATACAAATGAAACCTTTAAAGGAAATTGAAGTCAACTAACAGCTGATTAAAGATACCTAGGTACCTTTAAAAAAGGTTAGTGTTGAATGTACAAGTACAGAAATATGATGGAACTTTAAAAATTAGAAGACAATCTATTTTCCAGTCTATAAATATTACATCTTTCTGATTTCCTTGTTTAAGTTCACAAGTAAACATTCATTTTGACATGCTGAAGTTCCCAATGCTGGTGGAGCAGTTCCTGTACCTGGACAGCTGTGATAACGTTATGATTTGTCTGATGGATAGTCCACACCTGCCACTTCCTGTCGCATGGCTTCAGCTTCATTAACTCCCTCCTGGTCCCCTCCATCAGCACCGTCAGGTCTATCAGGATCATCTTCCAAACCATTGTAGAACTCTTCAATCTCACTTTCATCTTCCATGGGTTCTTCTAAACTAGGGCTCTGGCACGTGCCACTGTCACTGTTACTGCCACAGGAACTAGAGGATAAGACATCATCTTCAGAGTCTGAGTACACCTCTGCACCATGGAATATGTAACGATTTGGTGGTACAAAAAGGTACTGATTACCTGAAATAGAGTGGTAAGAAATGTTACCTTTCAGTTGTTTGATTCTAGGCAGAACAGTGTCCATTCGGTATATCTTGGAAGGCTCACAAACTTTCTAGGTTGTGGTTTTGTTAAGTCCATGTTAATTAGTCAAGGTAATCAGAAACAAAAATAGCTTTTACCTTGCAGACTACAAAACCTGTAAAATACAGTATGATAAAAGACTGCTCCAGAGGCAAAGATGTATATATGATACAGGCAAGTTACACTTCCCAGAGCTAAGTCTCCCATTGTGTATGTCCAGACTTCAGGGGAGGGGGAGAGTTATGTTTGGAAATGTTGGTATGAAAGGTGGTTTAGGTATGCTACATAAGTGTTCATGTTTACCTGAAACGAGGATGAATTACTGCTTAAAAGTTGGGCTCTGTTATCAGGGTCTTCTGCTTCAGAAATATTAAAACATCTTACCACCTGTTTTTACAAGTATACAGACAGTAGACAATAGAGTGCCCCAGAATTTAAAGATTTATTCTATTCCACTAAAATCTGAGTTAACAACATTACAGGTATGGTGGCACATATTTATGATCCTAGTACTAGAGAGATGAAGCAAGTTCACCATTAATATCTAAAATTTCTTACCCTGGGCTGTGACAGCTTATAGCCACAATTCTAGGGAACTTTAGAGGAACTATAAACTTTTTTTTCTTTTAATGTCAAAGCTGGGCATCACAACACCTTTAATCCCAGCAGAAAAGCGGATCTCTGTATCTCTGGATACAGCCAGGGCTATATATAAAAAGTCTGATGATGTTTTATTTCTATAGGGGATGGAAAACAGATTTTATATTATAGTGCTCTGCTGTTGTCTAGACAGCTATGGTTTGGATACATTTAAAGGCCAGCTTGCTCTCCCAGTATGAGAGCCTATCCCCTACTGGGGAGGTAGGGAAACACAGCATGTCTTTACCTGGTGAGCCATCCATCTTGTTAAGTCATTTCTAGCACTTAAAACAGCACAGCAATATATTTTAAAACCCACTCCTAGAGCTGAGGTTATAGCTCACTTAGGAGATCACTTGCCTAGCCATCTGAAGCCCTGTATCACAGTATTGCCTTTCTCTAACTCAACACACACAGCACTAAATTTTTCTCTTGACATTGGGAATCCTCTTTCTTGGATCACAATACTTGAAATGGTTCAACAAACAGCATTCCTTACCATCAAGACGCTTACTAATCTGCTCCTTTGCAAGTCTATTGGGCCAAAACTTTCTCACAGCTTCTGCAACTGAAGTTCTTTCATTTTTCTCTTCGGTACTGGAACCAACAGCCTTGAAATCTGGGTTTTCTACATTAATGCTCTCAACATTCCTACAAGCTTGTACTTCTTGTGACTTTTCTTCCATACAACTTTTTGATTCAGATACTTCTAAATCGTCAACTTTGTTCTTTGTTGCTTGGTCTACAAGTGTAGTAATCACAGGAGAATCCTGTGGTATAGTTCTTTCAGGTGAACTTGAGGCTTCAGAAATATGAAGAGGTGTTGGTGGCAACTCTGATAAATGAACCAATTCCTTGTGTGTTCGTGGAGGTTTTTCAGTAATTTCTAAAAGCTTTACAGGGTTACAACAAAGTTTGGCATATTCACCACCTAACCTATGACACAACTCATTAATTATGACATCACAGTCTCCAAGAAGCTCTACATCAAAATGCAGATGAGGCAAAGGTTCCCTATTTATTAATATTTGAGGCACTTCATGGGGTATGGAACCTAAAAACAGGATGGAAAAAGGAGGTTAGAAAAAGGAAGAAAAAGCAATTGTGCTACCCTTTAATCCCACCAAGACAGCAGCCAAAAACCCCATGAGACTCTGTCTCAGCCATAAAAAATGGAGGGGATGAGGGAAGCGACATAAATTTCTCCCATATTCTCTGACCTTAAACACATGGCAATCCTGTGTCCCAGCCTCAGAGAGCTCAGCTCAGAAAGCTTAAACTTTTAAATAACAAAACTTCTTTGAATTATAAAGATGACAATCTATCACAACATGTGGCTTTAGGTGTTTGGAAGGCTCAGAGAATCTCATATCCCCTTGCTATGAAAGGGCACATAGCTGCTTCACACAGTGGAGGTGGCAACAGAAACATGAAAGAGTAATTCAAGAATGGCAAACTTAAACTGGACATAAGCTTTTGGGGGGGGGGGGGCAGGGAAGGCGCATTAAGCCGGTCTCCTTGTGTCACCCTGGCTGTCCTGGAACACTGTATATAGACCAGGATAATCTTAATTAAACTCGGAGATCTGCCTCTTGGGGTTAAAGGTGTTAGCTGCTATGCCTAGCTCCTGGGCATAAGCAAATGAACTTTTATCTTTTCATCTAACCCAGGTAGCCTCAAATTTGCTATGTGGCAGACGCTATTCTTTGAACTCCTGACTCCACCACAGCATGGCTTACAAGTATGTGTCATTCCTAACTACCAAAGATTTACTAGCTGGGAATGGTAGCACATGCCTTTGATCCCAGCACTCAGAAGACTGGGCAGACATATCTCTTTAAGTATGAGGCCAGCCTGGTCTGAATATAGTGAATATAGTCAGGCTATAGTGAGATCTTGTCTCAAAGAAGGGGGTGGTATCTACCAGCATGTAAGTGCCTAATCTGAGTACTTGTGACCACTTTGGTCAAATGGGGTTGTCAGATTCCCCCACAAGATAGCTTACAACCATCTGTGACCCCAGTTCTAGAGAATCCAAATGGTGCACATACATGCATGTAAAATTCATATACACAAATAAGTTTTTTTTTTTTAAAGTAAAGCTTAGACCTTCAACTATTCTCTAAATAGAAACAGTAAAATCACCTCTTACACAGATCCACAACACACGGCATGCAGAACTGTTCCCCTAAACCAACTTACTTGGAATTAATGCTACTGGTCTTACTTTCAGAGAAGACCCAATAACAATGAGGAGGTCAACTTCATCTTTGTCATACTTCATGGCTCTATGAAACTGTTCTGGTAAATTTTCACCAAAGAAGACAATCTCTGGCTTCATAATAGCAAGTGGCTCATCGGCTGGGCACCTGGGACACCGAGGAACTACCTGCACAAATTGAGAAAGTGAAGGGAGCCCAAGTTAGAAGCAGTCAATATTATATTCCCAGGAAACATAAAAGCTGAGCAGAAATAAATTTGACAGAGCCTATTGTGAAGCTAGGTGACAGCTCAGCAGGTGGAGACAATTCCTGCCAAGCCACCAATCTGAGTTCAACTCCCAGAGTCCACATGGTAGATTGAGGACTGACACCTCCCCTTCCCCATTGATCTTCTGACCCCCAACACCGTGATTTCTTTCACTATTCACCTCCACACAAGTGTTGTCATTTCCTCATGCCCACCTGTGTGCACACAAAATATTAAGCATGCAAAAAGCGAGCACAAGAAAAAAAGAATGGAAACAAAAAAACTTGACCTTTAAAAATGTTTGTGAAAGTGACTCCATTCCAATATACATAATTAATTGTGCGGCTATTTCTGGATGTATGTTGCTATATTTTCTGTTTATATGTTTGTCTTTTTTTTTTTTTTTGAGACAGGGTTTCTCTGTAGCTTTGGAGCCTGTCCTGGAACTAGCTCTTGTAGACCAGGCTGGCCTCAAACTCTGAGATCCGACTGCCTCTGCCTCCCAAGTGCTGGGATTAAAGGTCTGCACCACCACCACCCGGCTTGCTTTCGTGTAGTAAATACTTCACTATCACTTATTTGTAGCTGAGCATGACCCTCAGCTTCTTATTCTCCAGCCACCAATGTGCTGGGATTAACCAGATTACTGGTGCTGGAGAGCAAACTCAGGACTCTGAATGTTAAACAGGCATTCTACCAACCAAGCAACATTCCAACTTCTGTTTCTCTGAAACAGGATTTCTCTGTGTAATAGTACTGGCTGTCCTGAAACCCTCTTTACACTAGGCTGGCCTTGAATTCACAGAGACTCTGCCTCCCAAGTGCTGGGATTAAAGGAATGTGCCACCAACTGGCTCAATTTTTTCTTTTTTTAAATGACTCTTAGCTCAGGTTAACTTGGCAAGTGTGCACATATGCACACACACACTCAGGTTAACTTGCAAGCATGCACGCGTGTGCGCGCACCACCCCCCTTCTCCTTAGTGTGCTCTAACACCTTCACCATACAAGGATTTGCTACTTAAGGTAGAAAACATAATTTATCAGAATTTCCAGCGTTCCTTCTGTATAATACATGCTTTTTACAGAAGGGGAGAAAAGATGAAGGTAGAAACATCAAGTTTACAAAATTCCTAAAATGAGCAGATGAATTAAATTACCTGATTAAAAATATCTCCACGAACAGCTTCACAATCAACTTTGTATTTACAAATCAGGCAAGATGCTGTTGCAAAAGAACCTAAAACAAAATATACCTGCTTTAAGAAATATTTGTGGCTTACACAATAAACTTTAGCCTGAGTTTTCCTGAAGTCTTACAAGGAATATAATATGGGTTATTTAAGAATACACGTATAGGGCTGGAGAGATGGCTCAGAGGTTAAGAGCATTGCCTGCTCTTCCAAAAGTCCCGAGTTCAATTCCCAGCAACCACATGGTGGCTCACAACTATCTGTATGTAATGGGGTCTGGTGCCCTCTTCTGGCCTTCAGGCATGTACACAGACAGAATATTGTATACATAATAAATAAATAAATAAATAAATAAAGCACGTATATATTCTTTATCCTCTAAAGGTATTGTGAAAAACAACTCTGCAAGGGCTAAATAAATCTGCAACTAGAAGGTACCAGTTGTCTTATATAGTCACAGCTGGTCTTGAATTGCCTATCATTAGGCATACACCACAGGCCTTATTTCTGCATTATTGTGTATGTTTTACAGTTATGTACATTCAAGATTATCAAATAATGCTTAATCTCGTTACGCAGCTTCTTCCCGTGCCCAGTATTTCTATCTAAGCACACCACAGAAACCACTGTTGACATTTACTAACCATGACACTGGATGATCCTTTGAATTCCTGCAACCTGCTCCAAGGTATCTATGTTTTGAGTATAGTTTCGAAGTAGTTTTCCTTCCTTATCTGACAAAGCTATGAATTTGTGACACAGAGATGGCTGGAATTGTCCAGGATATATTTCCTACATAATGCAAAGGGCAGAAAGGTTTCCATTAATTAAATAAACATAACAGATATCCTGCTTCTGTTTAGTCAAATGTACTAATCATAACCCCCATGTATATAATACTTTAATAAACACAGTGAGCATTTTAAAGCACTTAGATGGATGGCACACCTAGGAAAGGGCTGTTGCTATACAAAACAGCATTGGTGAACGTGGTCCCTTGAAGAACAAGGTAAGGTGACCCATAAACACATCTTTTTTTTTTTTTTTTTTTTTTTTTTTTGGTTTTTCGAGACAGGGTTTCTCTGTGGTTTTGGAGCCTGTCCTGGAACTAGCTCTTGTAGACCAGGCTGGTCTCGAACTCACAGAGATCCGCCTGCCTCTGCCTCCCGAGTGCTGGGATTAAAGGCGTGCGCCACCACCGCCCAGCCCATAAACACATCTTAATGGATAATGTAAGTCAGAAGAAATACATACCTTAGGTACATCAGAATTTTGTTGGCTGTAAATTCAGATTTTTTTAAAGGAAAAAAAGGGTAAACTTTACACTGAAATTACAGATATCAAAGGGTATGGTGACTTGACAACTAAAAAAGGCTCTCAATGTATTATTTAAAGCTATTGGATTATCATTCATAATTATCAACCTGCTGGAGGTTTAAAGCTGAAGTGTTAATTCCTTACCAACATTGCTTTCCTTCCACTGCACAGGCATACTGGGATAGAACAGAGCTGCTCATGAGTGCTGACTTGCTGGATTTTGTGTGTGTGTTTTTACCCCCAAATAATGCTTCAATGCTGTTTCTTCTTTAAAAACAAAGATTTCAGATATACACATGGCAAAAAGATCAGAGAAAAAGTATCAATTTTGGTCCTCCTACCTTGACAGTGTTTTTATTCAATTTTATTTAGTAAGTGACTATGGCAAAGGAAGTTTCTTTTTTCTTTAAAGTAGCAATACTTTCTACTTCCTTACACTATAGGCTCTATCTAATTCATCACAATGTTAGCAAAAATTAAATACAACCATATGTCCATCAATAGAGAAACTGGTTGTATAGTAACGTATACCCATACAGTGGATTATTTAGCCACTGAGAGAATGAGAGGGCTCTCATGCACTAAACTGAAAAATAGTTCATGACACAGGAAAAAAGCAAGTTAGTCACCAGGGAGTAAATCTTTTTGGTTTTTTTTTTTTTTTTTTTTTTTTTTTTTTTTTTTTTTTGGTTTTTCGAGACAGGGTTTCTCTGTGGTTTTGGAGCCTGTCCTGGAACTAGCTCTTGTAGACCAGGCTGGTCTCAAACTCACAGAGATCCGCCTGCCTCTGCCTCCCAAGTGCTGGGATTAAAGGCGTGCGCCACCACCGGTTTATTAAGCAAAAAAACAAAAAACACACACACAAAAAAAAACCCTGAAATTGTATGCACATATGGATGGTTCTGTCTGTATAAACACATGAGGAGAACACACAGCAACTGTAAACAAGGCTGAGATTTCTGTAGGATTAGAGGACTTAACTTTTCACCTATTTAGTAACTCACAAGTTAAACTTAGTAAGCAAATTTTTGGGGTTTTTTTTTTTTTTTTTTGGTTTGGTTTTTGGTTGTTTTTTTTTTGTTTGGTTGGTTTTTTTTTTTTTAAGGAGACAGGGTCTGTCTCTACATAGCCCTGGCTCTCCTGGAACTCACTATGTAGACCAGGCTGGCCTCAAGCTCAAAGACCCTCCTGCCTCTGCCTCCTCAGTGCTGGAATTAAAAAGATGTACATCACCACACTCAACAATAACCTAGGTTCTATGAAGTCATGTATATTGTGGTCCACTACACAAAAATCCAAGATTTTTGATTTCCATTCCAACGTATACAGGAAAAAACTTGAGTCTGGATTATGCGGCACATCCTAAAAGCCCAGCACACAGAGGTCAAACTAAAGGATAGCTAGAAATTATAGCATTCTAAAAGAACTTTACATCAGATAGGTTATCTCAGGTCTGAACATCCTAAAGCCTTTTAAGAAACCAATGGCAGGGATGCAGCTGTTAATCTGCTAATCCTAGCACTTGGGAGGCAGAGGCAGGGGATATCCGGAAATTCAAGGCCAGCCTGGTCTACAGAGCAAGTTCCAGGACAACCAGAGCTGTTACATACAGAAATCTATCTCAAAAAACCCAAAAAGGAAACCATTCAAGTCAGGCATGGTGGCACATGCCTCTAATCAGCACTTGGGAGGCAGGAGGCAGGCCTGGTCTATCTACAAAGCAAGTTCCAGGACAGCCAAAGCTTTTACAGAGAACCCCCTAGCCCTCCAATAAAAGAAAAAAACCAATCATAAGTGTTAGACCGTTCTACTGAGTTCAAATTTAAAATACGTAATTTTAAAAGCTAACATTCTGCAGGGCACTTGGGGTGTACACCTTTAATCCCAGCACTCGGGAGGCAGAGGCAGGAAGCAGGAAGACCTCCCAATTTGAGGCCAGCCTGATGTACAAATTTTGCAGGACACCCAGGGCTACAGGGAAAAACCCAGCTCTTTCTCAGCATGTGGGAGGCTAAGAGCTCAATCCCTAGCACCACACAAAAAAGTGAAGGGCTGGGGAGGAAGGGGTCAGTGGGTAAGTCTTTGCTATATAACTCTGCATGCAGAAGGCAGAAACAGGAGACCCTGCCTCCATACACAATGTGGGGAGAGTAATAGAGAAAGATACCCAAAGTCAACTCTGGCCACCACTTGTGACATGCACACTTACATCTGGGCATTGCATAAACATCACACACATGCCCATAGAGAAACCAAAGATTCCAGTAAGGACTCTTCCTCATACTCATTCAGAAAACCTCAGTAGAGTTTACTCAATAAAAACCTTTTGCTGGCTTCCTCTTGGGGGATATTTAACTTTAAGAAAACAGATTTTCGCCGGGCGGTGGTGGCGCACGCCTTTAATCCCAGCACTCGGGAGGCAGAGGCAGGCGGATCTCTGTGAGTTCGAGACCAGCCTGGTCTACAAGAGCTAGTTCCAGGACAGGCTCCAAAACCACAGAGAAACCCTGTCTCGAAAAACCAAAAAAAAAAAAAAGAAAAGAAAACAGATTTTCTAGACAAGATCGTGACAGTGCATATTTTAGGCTGTATGGGCTACACATTTTGCCATATGGTCTCATATAACAAAGAGATGATTTATTAAGTGGACTTGGCTGTCACTGAAACGACTTAGGGACAATACAGTAGAATTTCAGTGTCATGTGTTGTAAAAACAACCTGAGAACTCCTAGTCATTATTACCAATTAACTCTCAGCTAATGGGATGTGGAAGAAGCTGGTGAGCAGACACAATATGACAGAATGATGTTTAGATGATATATTGTACAACACAGAGATTACAATTAACACTCAATGTCTGAGTGTAAGAGTAGAAAGTATATTAAGTACTGGATGTATCCCAGCACTTGGGAGGCAGAGGCAGGTGGATCTCTGTGAGTTCGAGACCAGCATGGTCTACAGGAGCTAGTTCCAGGACAGGCTCCAAAACCACAGAAAAACCCTGTCTCGAAAAACCAAAAAAACAAAAAAAAAGTACTGGATGTCACTAGTCAGCTATAACCATCCCATAATGTATATAGAGCAACATAATGTATATCCTATAAATATATTCACTTATATGTCCATTTAAATAAATTCACAGCTCAGTCAGCTAATACTTAAAATTATACATGTTTCTAACAAGATTTTTTCAGAGTACACCGATATGTCTAATCTAATGAAAGAATTTCAATTAGTGAAGCTAAAAACTAATCCCTACTGAACTTGAACATGCAAAACCTATACTTGTATTTCACATTATAATGCTGTAGAGCATTATACATACTTCACATGTTATACATGTTATATAGCTTACATGGATAAGGCTGAATTAAAGACAGCATTTCATGTAGCCCTAACTGGTCTGGAACACAGAGATACACCTGCCTCTCACTCCAGAGTACTGAGATTAAAGACCTGTATGTACTACCACATCTAACCCTTATTTTTTTTATATACTAAAAAGAAATTTTATGAGTGTTGTGCCTATAGGTAATATGTATATGTATTGCTTGCCTAGTCCCCAAGAATGTCAGAAAGACATTGGACCCTCTCAGAGAGCTGGAGTTATGAATGGTTGTGAGCCACCACATGAGTGATAGGAACCAAACCCAGGTCCCTCTTAACAGGTCTGAACTCTTGAGTGTTCTTAACTTCTAAGCCATCTCTCCAACCCCTATCTTAAAACTTTTAATTATATGTATGTCTAGGGTGGGGGTGAGTGAGTGCAGGTGCCATGGAGGTGGAGGCCAGCAGCCCAGGCTTATACTGGGACTGGTGATCGCCAGCAGCTGTAGAGACAAGTTGCTGGAAACTGATCTCCAAACTTTCTAAGTAGAATGCACTCAAGCACTGTCTCATCTCTTCAATTTTTGACTGTGAACGGCTTTTCCTCAGATTTCCTTCCTAGCCATGTTTGGAGCCTTTAAGAGTCTATGTATATAATATCATCCATAAACTGAGGATCTTTGATTCCCCCGTGTATATCTTTCTATGAAGGCTAACTTTTATGTTCCTCACTTGCATCATAAACCCAATTAAACCTTAAGAACAAAAACAGTCTAGCATTTATGTCCTTTGTAGGACATGAATCCAGGGCCTAAAGCTCTACAACTTGCAACCCAGGCTGGCCTGGAACTCAAGTGTTAAGCAGAGACTGGCCTTTTACCTCTTGAGATCCTCCTGCCTCCACCTCCTAAACCCTGGTTTGTTACACATTATTGGAGAGCATTTTCATGCTATGCCTACTGGAATTCCAGCCTTTATAATCCCCCGAAGAAGAGCAAAATAATGTTTACCCATACACACACATACACAAAATAACTAAACGTAATTTTAAAAATGTTCAGAACCCTTAATTTTAGAGATGTATCTGTACTTGATACCCTGTAAGACAGTGACAAAAGTGGCTACTGGCAATGCAGTGCTCCACTCACAACAGAATTTACATGAAAAACCTTGGGAAAAACAGAGATACACTAACCAACTCTGCTTATGTAAGACATGAAAGTAACTTAGGTACCTGCTGACCTTTCTGAACCTATGTCTACTGACTGAGTTCATAGGACATCAGACATCTCTCATTGTTGAGACAAGGCAGCATCGCTAAGTATCAGAGATTCTAATAGCACATCCTAGCTGCAAACTGTGGTTACCCCTATAATTCCAGCACCTAGGATGCTGAGAGTATTCCCTCACAGTTCTATAAATATACCATATAAAGACAGTTTTTACAATTCAGCTTAGGGCCCGCAAGATGTGAGATGGATCAGTGAGTAAAGGGGCTTTGCTGCCAATCCTGTCAACCAAGTTCACTTAATTCCAAGAACACACACGCATGTATGTGAGTTCTCCACATTGCACTTTGGCATGCGCATCACCCACTCACCACTCCACCCTTCTGAAATAAAACTTTCAAGATCCTATTTAATTTCTGGGTTCTCTAAAAAAGTCTACCTAATACAGAAGAGCCTTTGGGATTTATTTACAAGTCCCATAAAAATGAACTAACAAGAGGCATGCATGGTGGTAGGTGGTGGCAGGAAGATCAGGAAGCTCAAAAACCATCCATGGCTATGCAAAGTTCAAGACTAGCCTGGCCTACAGACTGCCTCAAAAATAAAGAAAATTTGAGATGAGCTGCAGAAAAAACTGCAAAATTTTCTAGTGACAGATGAAAATCTTGGGACGATATATATACTCTATAGCAGTACAGCTGCACAGCAGATATATGGAGCCAGGGATACAATTTTCAATTTTCTAATTCACATTCAAGTGAAAATTTCAAATACCTAATAAAAATTTTTGTTGCTGTTTTGTTTTTGAAGCTGAGTCTCACAATGTAGCCATGGCTGATCATTAAGTCAAGAGTCTCCTCTTGAATCCTGGGAATGCAGGATTACACCACTATGCCTGACTCCTGAACATTTTACCAAATATCCCTGAATATTTGTTTTTTTAATATTTAATAAATGCAATTAGTAGTTCATTTTTCTTTAGCAAAATCTCTAATATCCCTAAGTATGTCCCTCACTTATAGCAACACATTTCAAGTATTCAATAGCCATATGCAGCTAGTGACTGACTGACTTATGAACTAGAAAGACTAGAAGACTCTACAAGGGTCCTGTCATCTGTTCAAAAATCTCAATCTTTGGTAACTAAAAATCGTTTTTCAGACAGAGGCACACGTTAAAACTTGTCTACTACAAACCATACTACAGTAGGTCCTATAAACTTTATGACTCAGAAAATAGATTCAAAGTCAAAACAGGTCATTTTTTTTATGATCTACAAACCACTAAAGGAGTGGTGGGGGAGACAGACAAAAGACCAAAAATTATTTACAATCAGTCCTAAAAAACAACAAAAGTTCTACCTACCACACTGTAGCGTTCACTTCACTGGGCAACCAATGTCAATTTAAGACATCTATACATGAGAACAACACTTTCTCATGAACGACAAACAAAAAACTGTGATACCTTTGCAAACTTGAAGAATGGTCTTGGATCTTTTCTAAAATACTCAATATCAAACATGGCTTGAGGATCTGGGAGATCTGGGAAGTCCACAGCAAGACGAGCATAAATACCATCTCTTGATCTGAAGTCAGGTATTCCACAGGAAACTGAAACCTGAAATATTCAAGACGTAATTCTCAACATTCAATTATCTACCTTCATAATTAGGGCCTCTAGTACACACAATTAGGTGGTAAGAATGCAAAGAAAAGTTAAGTTTGAGGAACAGAAACACCACCCTTCTAATTTCTCTCAAATACAGAAGAGACAAGTAAACTAATGAGAATAATTAATCTGCCACATACTGCTTTTAGTGGTGCTAAGTCGGGCCAACCTTAAAAACCTTTAAGCATTTAAACAAATTAAAGCAAATATAATTAGAGTAAATCAACCTCATTTTTTTTTAACCTAAAAGTAGGTAAGACTTCCTTGCAGATAATACCAAAGAAACTGCTTTCATATGGCCAGCTTTTAATACCTCAAGAACACTAGAATTCCAAAATTTCAACCCTGTACTGTAAAGCTGGGCACACAAGTTCATGACTGTAGTCTCAGATATTTAGGAGGCTGAGACTGAGGGGCTGTTTAGGTTCAGATTTAAGACTAGCTGGAACAACCACAACAGAAAAACCATTACAATAAAGGGGCTGTGGGTCCTGGGTATTCACAACGTTCAATAGTACAATTGTCTCCCACATACCATAAGAAAGTAATTTGCCAAGCAGTGGTAGCACATGCCTTTAATTCAGCACTCAGGAGACAGAGGAAGGAGATCTCTGTGAGTTTGAAGGCAGCCCTGGTCTACAAAGCAAATTCTAGGACAGGCTCCAAAGCTACATAGAGAAACCCTGTCTCAAAAAAAAACAGGAAAAAAAAAAGTCCCCCTCTCCCCAAAAAAGCTATCAGGCTTTACTCTTTTTGTTTTCTATGTCTGTAAGGAAACTTGCATGTATATCTGTGCTCCACATGGGCACCTTGTGTCCTGAGGTCAGAAGGAATCACATCATGCAGTTGTCAACGGTCATGTGGGTGCTGGAACTGAACCTGGGTCCCCGCCTAGCAGCAGCAAGAGCTCAGTTCCGAATCATCTCTCCAGTTCAGGAATATAACATATTTACTTATGGGTTCTTTGGAAAGTCTGACAATTTTTTTAAATGTTTATTTGTAGCTCAATTGGTAGGTGGGATCATCCCCCCCTTTTTAAAGATCTTATTTTTGTATGTGTGTTTGCCTGCATGAATGTATGTGTACTATGTGTGTGCCTGGTGCCAGCAGAGGCCAGAAATGGATGTTGGGTTCCCAGGAATTGGAACAGTTGTGGGCTCCCATCTGGTCACTAGTAACCAAATCTAGCTTCTCTTCAAGGGGCAGCAAGTTGTTTTTAATGGCTAGGCCATCTCTCCACTTTCTGTAGTCAAGTTTATTTTTAATTCTATGTGTATGGGTAGTTTACCTGCATGAATGTTTTGTTCTACTGTGTGAAGTGCCCAAGGAGGACAAGAAGGCATCAGCAGATCCCCTGATATTGGAGTGACAGATGTTGTGAGCCTCCAGGTCCTCTGCAAGAGCATCAAGCTATCTCTCCAGCTCCTGGGAATTTGGAGAAATTAGATTCTTTTGGAAAGCATGATAGCAAGGCTCTAGTGGAATCAGTTTTCATTGAGAAAGCAGAAACTTAATTCATGGTTAAAATACGGTTGGGAAGGTAACATGCTTACCTTTTTTTTTTTTTTTTTTTTTTTTTTTAACTTGGTTTAAGACTGTAGAGACTTGGCCTTTTTCATTTGACTTGGTCTAAGACCAACTCATAATTCTGTATTGTGTAGTATATTAGACATTATGTTAGCAGCAAGAAGCACTTCAAGCAAAGTGAAAAGGTATTAAATGACCATTAAGAATCTCAGTTCTGGAAGACAGAAGGTGAGCCTGCCAAAGCATTCCGTGTGCACTAGCCCCTCAACACCAGAATACAATTAGTTTTCCCTGTGGGTGTAATTTAGACAAAGGTTGGGTTTTTTTTTCCTTTTTCTTTTTTTTTTCTTTGTTCAATGGGGTTTTACTGTGTAACATCAGCCTTGTTTATCCTGAAGTGGCCCTGTAGATCAGGCTAGCCTCAGATCTGCCTGCCTCTGCCTCCCGAGTGCTGGAATTAAAGGCCTACACCCCCACCAGCTGCTTTGTTTGCTTGTGTTTGGTGTGTGGCAGTTTGTGTGCTATGGCCCCTTTGGAAATCAGTACATACCCCAGCTCCAGTTAAAACTATTATCTTTTTGCATTCTTGTAGTAACTTCACAGCATCTTCAATCGTATTAACATCTTTTCTTTTTTTCCGTTTTGGTGGTTCTGAAAGAATATTAATAACAATCTGCCACAGTGTCATATCATCCAAATCAGGTGGAGGAATTGTTTCTGGCAGTAAATCTTTAAGAATTGTTCGAGGATCAGTACCAATCATGAGATGCTGCTGAACAAAAGTATACGGACCTATATTAAGGGAAGAAAGGCTTCAGTCAGTTCTAATTCTAATTAAAACCTCATTTATTTTGTCAAGTAAATAAGTTAGCAATATATAAAACTTTTATGCAAAGTTTAATTTAGTATTATTTTAAAAATACAATTTAGAGCCAGGTAGTGGACAGAGGCAGAGGTAGGTGGATCTCTGTGAATTAGAAGGTCAGCTTGGTCTGAGACAGTTCCAGGATAACCAGGGCTACAGAGAAACTGTCTCCAAAAGCGCCCCCCCACCCAATAAAATAGAAACAGAAAAAAGGTGCAATTTAAAGGTATTTCATGTCATATCCCAAACAAAATCTGATTGAACAAGAGCTTGCTTAGGTCTGAGGTTTTGTTTTGCAAGATAGGGTTTCTCTGTGTAGCCCTGGTTGTCCTGAATTTGCTTTGTAGACCAGGCTGGCCTCAAACTCAGAGATTCGCCTGCCTCTGCCTTCTGAGTGCTGGGATTAAAGGTGCATGCCACCACTGCCTGGGAGGTCTAAGTATTTTGATTATATTTTAAGGGTCAAATGGGTAGAAGATGGAAGCAACTCAGGAATTAGCATGCAGGAAGCCAAGAAAAAACCTTACCAATACCTGAGAAACTAAATCTAAATGATAAAGGTGAGAAAATTTAAAGATGGTACAAGAATAGCTTCGGGGAAGTCACTGCAGACGTTGGTGGCACATAACTATAATCTCCAGCATTTAAACACAAGGGAGACGGGAACTGAAGGCCAATGGGGGCTATACAGTGAGTTCAAGCCAGTTCTAGGCTACAAGAAAGTGATCCTGTCCCAACAAGAAAGCAGACACATTTTTAAAAATACTGATACATTTGGAGCAAAAGAGGGAAAAAAAAGGTCAACAGTATGAAAGAAAAAGAACAGGGATGAGGAACATCCTCAGACATAGGGACATGGTGTGGCACACCTATAATCCTAGCACTTGGGAGGAAGTTCAACATCATCCTTACACCCTAGACTCCATGAGTTTAAAGCCAGCTTGGGTACATGGAACTGTCAAAGAAATCAAGAAAGGGAAAAGAAAAGGTGTAAGGAAGAAAGAGAAAGACTGCACTGGTTATGGTATACTCCAGAGGCAAAAGACTGCAGAGCAATTTTGCTAGCCTGGGCTACAAAACACCTTGTCTCAAAAAGAAGGAAGGAAAGAAAGGGCATTTATTCAAAGCTTACAGGTTCCAAGCATACCTATCCTCGGCCGTGGAGTCCAGTCACTAGAGCTCGCATGCGAAGTTCTATCGTCCTCATCACTCTCGCAGGAATGGAAGCCATTAGTGATGATTTCATCAGTGAACAGCAAGTTGTCTGTGAAAGAAAACAAAGACTACTGACAAAACCATCTTCATCTGGGGCTAGGGGTGCACACCTGCAGTCACTGGCACTTTCAGGCTAGTCTGAGCTACATGACAAGACTCAGGTTATTGAGACAAAAATCAAAAACCAGCTTACATCTATGATTCCAGCACATGGGAGGCACAGAAGCTGAGAACACCCAACCTACACAGAACAGTGAAATCCGGACCAGCCTGGGCTAAAGTGGAACCCTAGCTCAAAAATCAAAAACGGGGCTGGGCAGTGGTGGTGCACACCTTTAACCTCAGCACTCAGGTCGATCTCTGTAAGTTCAAGGCCAGCCTAATTACAATGGATGCCCAGAGCTGTTACACAGAGAAACCCTGTCTCAAAAGAAAAAAAAAGTTGTTTTTAAAAAAAAAAAAAAAAAAAAAGCTTAAGGTGAAACATACCTTCAAAAATAGGATCTGAGCTTCACGTCAAGGGCTAAAACCTACAGCTTCATGAAATGCATCAAACAGAAATTATCACAAACAGGACGGTGGTAGGTGGCGCATGCCTCTAATCCCAGCACTAGGGGAGGCAGCCTGGTTCTACAATGAGTTCCAGGACAGCCACGAATGTTACAGTGAAACCCTGTCTCAGAAAAAGAAAGAAAAAAAACCTTAATCCTTAGCAGTGTCCTCCCTGCCCCAGCCAGTCTTTCTGTAGCCCTCAAAGTAGAAAACTTCCTGCCTCAGCAAATTTACGCTTTAAAGAACATAAAACATGCTTCACACTACACTATCCGTTCCCCCATTTAATAGCTGAAATCCAGGGCTATTTACTATTCCAGTCCCTAGCACGCCGTTCTTTTCTTTTAAATACATGATGGTCCACAAATACTGACAGACTCCGATAAATGCTGAGCAAAAGAAGTTCAGATGACATTATTACATATACAACACCTTTGGTGTCAATGGCATACAGAAGTCGGTTTGTTTCAGAATATCAGATGTTAGGAAACTAAAAAAAAATGTTATGAGCACATGGTTTCAGAAGAAAAATAAGTACTGTAAAACTATTACTCTTCTATACCTAGGTGCTTAAATGCAATCTCAGGAAATTATTGTTTTTAGAACAGTCATTTCCTTACATTTTTAAGACGGTGCCTCATCAAACAGCTTTGGTCTATTAAAAATTTCTAACTTCAAAAAAAGATATCGGTCCAAAAAGAAAAAAACACCACCATACAGGTGTCAGCTTGCAAACGCAATCGCAGAGGTCGAGCCACGGGACAGCCCAAAGCGAGCTGCCAGGAAAATGCAACTTTAATAAAGGCGCTAGGGTCAAAAGCATCCGAGGGAGGGAAAACTTCAACGACAACTACAAGAGCCCGGGTGACTGCGCGCAGCGCAAAGCGGCCCGGGCGAGCGGCGAGTCCGCGCGCGGCTCCGCTGCAGGGCCGGCGAGCTCGGCGGCGCGCGGCCGAGCCGGGGCCGAGCTGCGCCGCCACCGCCACCGCCGCCGCCGCCGAGCCCGAAGAACCCTCGGGGCCCCAGCCAGCCCGGGACCGGGTCACAGGCGGGGACGCGGAGGGACGCGACTGCGCGGTCCCGACCCCGCGCGCGCCACTCACCTCGGTAGCCGATCGCTGCCGCCGCCGCCTCGTCGTCCTCCTCGCCCTCGTCGTCGTCGAAGTCGTCGGCAGCCCTCGGCTCCCGCCGCAGGCCCGACCCATTGTCTCCGTCCCCGGCCGCGGCGGTCGCCGGGGCCTCCGGCTCCGCGCCCGCCGCCGCCGCCCCTACTGCCTCCCGCCACAGCGCCGCCGGGGCCGCGGCGCTCTCCGCCTCACACCCCGCCGCCGCCGCTACCGCCGCCGCCGCGCTCGGCTCGCCCGGGCTGCGCCCGAGGCCAGGCCCGTCTCGGCGCGGCCTCTTGCGGAGCGGCTCCTCGGCGGCGGGCTGCGACGCGGCCTCCATGGCGGCCGCCGCGGAAGGGGAGCCGCCGGCCTGAAGGGCGAGCGCCGCCTCGTCCGCCATCTTCCAACTGCCTCTCTGGCCCTCCGCCCTCGCCTCCTCTGCTCCGCTCGACGCGCGGCACTGGCGCCCCCGCGGCTCGGCTGCGGGAGATTTAAACCCCGTCACGTGACCCGGCCCCTCGCCGCCTCCGCCCCCGTGCCGCTCCCGCCACCCACGCGGGCCGGACCACAACACGCCGGGTCACGTGTCCGGGCGCCGCCCGCGGCCTCGGCCCTCCCCGGCCCCACCCAAGGGCCCGGCTCCCCTCGGCGGCCTCTGCTCGCCACCCGCCCGCTCGCTCGGCTCGACTCGGCTTGCTCGGCTGCGGCTCAAGTTGGCGGCGGGGCCGCGAGTTCCCACCTGGGCCTCCCGCGTGCCCCTTGCTTGGCTTCGCCTCTGTCGGCTTCTCCCTCAGGGGTTTTTAAAAGCCCTGGAGCGGCGAGCGGCCCGAACTGGTCAAGGCCGGCCTCCCTGAGAAGAGTTCCCCCACCTGCCTGGCGCTTTGTGACAGCTCTTCCTCAGTTTACCGCTGTAGTCTCTCCCGGAGCTTGCGCCGTCTCCCACCTTCCCTTATCTAGTGCAATGGAATGTTAATCCCAGAGCCCGGGGGACCTGGGCCCCTCTGCTCTAAGGCCCCCAGCTCCGGTCTCTGGACCTCGCTTTTGTCATTTGTAAAATTTAATCCCTTGGCTCAGGTGGGGCGGCAAGAGCGAGGATAGGAGGGAGAGCATTTGGTTCTTACGCACTTCTGTGAAGGAGTCAAATTTGGGGCCTGGCTCCTGTGACTTCAGCAGTTGAGTCTTTTCTGAACCCTTTTTAAATTTATTATTATTTGGGTTTTTTTGTTTTGGGTTTTATGTTTTGTTTTTCGAGACAGTTTTCTCTGTGCAGCCCTGGCTGTCCTGGAACTTGATCGGTAGAGCAGGCTGGTCTCCAATTTAGAAATCCACCTGCTTCTGCCTCTCGAGTGCTGGGATTAAAGGTGTGCACCACCATCGCAAACCATCTAAATCTAATCTTTAATCATTTCTAAAGTGGCAAGACCAGGACTGAGGATTCAGCTCAGGTGTAAAGTCAAGTCACACTCCCAGACATGCATGAGGCTCTAGGGAGAGGGGCCCGGAGGTCATCTTCCAACTACATAGGAAGTTCAGAAAAGGCCTGAAATACCCAAAACTTGTCTCGAAAATGAAATTTAAAAGTAACAGGCCATGTTTTTTGCAGTGCTCTGGTGAGAAATCAGATGGCCAGGTGTAAAATAAATGGCTGAAAACTAAATGTAAAAATCTTAGTTCTAGAATCGGAGAAGTGGCTCTCAGTGACTAAGAGCACTTGTTGCCCTTGCAAAGGCCCTGTGTTTGCCTCCCACCATCCACAGGGGGACTCACCTGCAGATCTGACACCCTCTTTTGGCAAACACAGACATGCATGCAGCCAAAACACCCAGACACATAAAAAGACACTTTGTATGTTTGCTTTTCGAGACGGGGCTTCTCTGTGTAGCCCTGGCTGTCCTGGAACTCCCTCTTGTAGATCAGGGTGCAGGATCTCGAACTCACAGAGATCCGCCTGCCTCTGCCTCTCAAGTGCTGGGATTAAAGGCTTGAGCCACCATCACCTGGAATTTAAATAAATCTTTAATGTTTCTAAATCCTTATTTCCTCCCCAACTCGAAGCTCCTTCACTTTCAGTTACCCTGAAATTCTGGGCCCCTCTATCCATTTGGGTCATTAGAACTCAATTACACACGGCTCAATTACAGTGAGACTGGTATGTAATCTCCTAATCCGATAACTCGGGAGTTAGTGGCAAGAGGATCAGGAATTTAAGGCATTTCACTATGTAGTGAATTTGAGCCCACACTGTCTCAAAAACAAAACAATCGCCAGGTGTGGTGGCACACATCTTTAATACCAGTACAGGGGCTGCAGGGAAAGGGGACAGAGGCAGGAGAATCTAGGCTAGCCTGGCCTACATATGGAGTTCAGGCTAGCCAGGGCTATTCAGACCCTGTCTTAAAGTCTATGAAAAATGATTAAAAATTAAGGGGCCAGAGAGATGGCTTAGCGGTTAGGAACACTGGCTTCTTTTCCAGAGGACCTGAGTTCAATTCCCAGCACCCACATGGTAGCTAACAACTGTAACTCCAATTCCAGGGGATCTGGCATCCTCACCCAGACATAATAAATGCAGGCAAAACACCAATATTAGTATTCCGGCATCTGTACAGACCTGCCCTTAGGGTCCTGATAGGATAGTCCTCAGCTGCAAACTCTTTTTTTTTTTTAAACTTTTTATTTATTTAACTTTATTATGTTCGTTGGTGTGAAGGTGTCAGATCTCATGGAACTGCATTTTCAGACAGTTGTGAGCTGCCATGTGGGTGCTGGGAATCGAACCCGGGTCCTCTGGAAGAGCAGTCAGTGCTCTTAACCGCTGAGCCATCTCTCCAGCCCCTCAGCTGCAAACTCTTAAGAGCACCCCCTGTGAGCAGGGCAGTGGTGGTACATGCCTTTAATCCCAGTTTTCCGGAGGCAGAGGCAGTGGTGGCACACGCCTTTAATCCCAGTTCTCGGGAGGCAGAGGCCGGCTGGTCTACAGAGCAAGTTCTAGGACAGGATCCAAAGCTACAGAGAAACCAAAATACCAACAAAATAAAGCAACCCCTCCCCCCCTCCCCCCCCTGCACATTATTTGCTACATCACCTTTTAAAAGGTGCTCCTTACCCACCTCCCTTCTCTCTCTTCTGCCACTTTCGTCCCCAGGGCCATGTCTCTGCCCACCTTCCCCACACCCCTCATTGCCCCCTTCTCCATCCTCTTTTCTGCCCCTTCTCTCTCCTCTTCCAATGAACCTCCTATGTGAGCCATGTTGTATGGCATGACTTCTGCCTTTTTTTCCCCAGACTGCAACAAGCAAGGTCTATTATTGTAAGCGTAATACAAGCTAGCTAGCACTGAACTCGTCCCCAGCACTTGCCCTCGTAGCAAGGTAGGGAGAAGTTAGAGTCCCTCTGTGGGGTTAGCTTTTCAATGGATTTTTTTTTTTTTTTTTTTGGTTTTTTCGAGACAGGGTTTCTCTGTGGCTTTGGAGCCTATCCTGGAACTAGCTCTGTAGTTCCACCGCCCAGCCTGAAGATTTATTTTTATTTGCATGGGTTGTTATAATTTAAAAAACAGCAGTAAGAGGAACAAAATGGGGCCTCAGGTTCTTGCCGATGGCAGTCAAATACCTCCTTGACCCTCGAACTAGTCTCAGGTCAGGGACTGTGTGTAGGGACAATACCTGACCACCACTTACCCCTCTGCAATCACACTATGCCCCTCACAAACCAATCAGGATATTTGGTCCCAGCAAATGATACCTGATGGGCATGTTCCTCTGGCCTAACACCTTGCGCCCACATGACTGTGCTGAACCGAACGAAGGGGTTTTGTGTCCTTGTACACCTGGTTCCCAGGGTAACCTATCATGCCGCTGAGGAATTAAGTCTTAGTGAGGCTACCCAGTATGCTCTTAGAGAGAGCGGGTCACAGCCCTTACCCTTGCCATCCTGCTGGGAACCAGCTTAGCAGGATTGGGGACAGGAGCAGCCTCCCGTCCTCCAACAGCATTATTATGCGGATCTCCGCATGTCAATAGATGAGGACATTCAGAGAATAGAAACCTCCATCTCCCACCTGCAAGAGTCTCTGTCTTCACCGGCAGAAGTGGTGTTACAGAACAGAAGGGGCCTGGATTTACTATTCCTAAAAGAAAAGGGCTATATGCAACTCTGGGAGAAGAATGCTGCTTCTATACAGACCACTCAGGAATTGTAAAAGATTCCACAGCAAAGGAAGGAAAAGAGAACACGAAGCCAACCAGAGTTGGTTTGAGGCCTGGTATTCTAAATCCTCTTGGTTCACCACGCTTGTTTCGTCCCTAATAGGGTCTCTGTTACTCTTCCTCCTAATACTCACCTTTGGGCCCTACATTATTAATACAATACTCGAATATATGAAACAAAGGTTGGGAAGTATACAACTTATGGTGCAACAGGGGTATACTCCACTCAGGCCTTATACAGCTGAAATTATGATAGTATCATCAGTAGGGCCGACGAAATATACGAGCTATAGCAAGCAGGCTCATGATTGAGCCCCCTTTAGGACCAAGAGAAGAGGGGAATGCAAGACCCTTATCCCTTATTCTCAAAAGAACAAGCAGGAATTTCCCAGCAGAGTCTTTTAAAATCAAAAATCCCAGATTACCCAGCACTTGGGAGGCAGAGGCAGGTAGATCTCTGTGAGTTCGAGGCCAGCCTGGTCTACAAGAGCTAGTTCCAGGACAGGCTCCAAAACCACAGAGAAACCCTGTCTCGAAAAACAAACAAACAAAAAAAATCCCAGACTAGCTTCACGTTCCCAGAAAAGATAGTGCCCGCCCCCCAGTCACCAGGTGGAGACTGATAAAGTTGTCCTGACTCAGGGACAGGGTGACCTTGCTCTGAAGACAAAAATAAATAAATAAATAAATAAATAAAAACAAGCTGACGAAACGAAACAGGATGGAAAAGAGTAAAGACCTTGTACCCGTGCCAACTCCTCCTGAGGGCCCTGAAGGGCTTGTAGTTTTTACCTTTAAAAAGCTAACCCCACCGGGCGGTGGTGGCGCACGCCTTTAATCCCAGCACTTGGGAGGCAGAGGCAGGCGGATCACTGTGAGTTCAAGACCAGCCTGGTTTACAAGAGCTCGTTCCAGGATAGGCTCCAAAGCCACAGAGAAACCCTGTCTCAAAAAACAAAAAACAAAAACAAAAAAAATATCTTCAAAATTAAAAATTAAGCCTGGGAGCTGAAGGAATAGCTCCGTGGTTAGGCACATGCACTGCTCTTCGGGAGGATCTGAGTTCGGTTCCCAGCACCCATTTCAGGTGGTTCAAAAATGTGTAACCCCAGCTCCAGGTAATACTGACCTCCACAGGCACTACCCTCGTGTGCACATATATACATAAACATATTTTAAAAAATAAAAATCTTTAGGCCCAAGGGTTGCAGTGGCACACACTTTCAACCTTAGCACTCAGGAGGAAGAGGCAGAAAGGGAATTTGAGGTCAGCCTGGTTTACACACAGCAAGTTCCAGGCTAGCCAGAGCTACACAGTGAGACCCAATCTCA